CTAGATCAGTGGTTCTCAACCTTGGCTGCACATTAGAATCACCTGGGAATCTTTTTTAAATCCTGATTTCTGGGCCTCATCCTCCGGAAATTCTGTTTCTTTGTTACGAATGTTGTGGCCCCACCCCATCACAAAGAAACAGAATTTCCGGAGGATGAGGCCCAGAAATCAGGATTTTAAAAAGATTCCCAGGTGATTCTAATGTGCAGCCAAGGTTGAGAACCACTGCTCTAGAATCAAGCGTGATTTTCAATGTATAGTGAACCATGCAGGCAATTATAGCCGTTAAGAAAGTCTGGATACACTTGAATAACATTCTTTCCTAAACAGAATTACTCTTGGAAGTTCCTTTCAAATGTCAAAAGCGAACCTACACCGCTGAGCTGAGTAATAAATGGAACAGATTTGATAGGGAGTGTGTGTGTGTGTGTGTGTGTGTGTGTGCGTGCGTGTGTATGTGTGTGGTTAGGCCCAGTCTCCCTTTCTTTAAGGTTCATTTGTTGATTTTAAATGCAAACGCTGCTTCTGTGGGCCTGTTTCCTCGAGGGAGGGGAGTGTAGCGATGATAAAGCATTGTTTTCGCGCAGCCCACACCAGTCCCTGGTCCTGGTCGTGTGGCGCCTGTAAACCTTCTGATTAGAAACGGCAGAGCCCCCTCAGGAGAGATCAGGCTGGGGAGAGAGGCGGGCTTTTCTGGCAGATCAGTTAAGAGGAGATGGAGTTTGGGGGCCTCGATTCCGCAGAATCCAGCCCCTGGAGGCTTGGTGAAAGGGGAGAAGGCTGACCTCCGACCTCTGGCGCCCCTCCCCCACCCCCTCCGGGTCCAGCACTGCCCGCGGGTGGGATCTGGTTGGTGCCTGGGTGAGGGGCGCTGCCCGCGGGTGGGATCTGGTTGGTGCCTGGGTGAGAGGTGCTGCCCGCGGGTGGGATCTGGTTGGTGCCTGGGTGAGAGGTGCTGCCCGCGGGTGGGATCTGGTTGGTGCCTGGGTGAGAGGTGCTGCCCGCGGGTGGGATCTGGTTGGTGCCTGGGTGAGAGGTGCTGCCCGCGGGTGGGATCTGGTTGGTGCCTGGGTGAGAGGTGCTGCCCGCGGGTGGGATCTGGTTGGTGCCTGGGTGAGAGGTGCTGCCCGCGGGTGGGATCTGGTTGGTGCCTGGGTGAGAGGTGCTGCCCGCGGGTGGGATCTGGTTGGTGCCTGGGTGAGAGGTGCTGCCCGCGGGTGGGATCTGGTTGGTGCCTGGGTGAGAGGTGCTGCCCGCGGGTGGGATCTGGTTGGTGCCTGGGTGAGAGGTGCTGCCCGCGGGTGGGATCTGGTTGGTGCCTGGGTGAGAGGTGCTGCCCGCGGGTGGGATCTGGTTGGTGCCTGGGTGAGAGGTGCTGCCCGCGGGTGGGATCTGGTTGGTGCCTGGGTGAGAGGTGCTGCCCGCGGGTGGGATCTGGTTGGTGCCTGGGTGAGAGGTGCTGCCCGCGGGTGGGATCTGGTTGGTGCCTGGGTGAGAGGTGCTGCCCGCGGGTGGGATCTGGTTGGTGCCTGGGTGAGGGGCGCTGCCCGCGGGTGGGATCTGGTTGGTGCCTGGGTGACGGGTGGGATCTGGTTGGTAACTGAGTGAAGCTCGAGGCCCGCGGGTGGGATCTGGTTGGTACCTGGGTGAGAGCATGGCCCGCAGGGGGGCAGGGCAGCTGCGTGCTCAGGAGCACAGAGAAGGGAGAACCGGTTCCCTGGGGACTGGACAGGAGGACTAGAGGATCCCTGATCCGCGAAACAAGACAGTCCCTAAGAGTTATGGCCAAGGGCCTTAGCCAGTGTGGCTCAGTGGATAGAGTGTCGCAGGAGGATTGAAGGGTCCCGGGTTCGATTTCGGTCAAGGGCACGTACCTCGGTTACAGAGGGAACATACAGAAGGCAACCAATCGATATGTCTCTCTCACATCGATGTTTCTCTCTCTGTCTCTCCCTCTCCCTTCCACTCTCTCTAAAAATCAATGGGAAAATATCCTTGGGTGAGGAGTAACAACAACAACAAAAGTTATGTCTAAGGGACATTTGTTTCTAAAAAATACAACCGTGTCTTTGTCGGTTGTGCAGGTTACCAGCGCAGGGTGACGCTCAGCCAGCGGAGCCCGGCCAGGGCCCGGGGTGCCTAGGAAAAAGCGCTGCCTAACCAAGAATCTTGACCTACACTTGAAGTATGTGTAGTGTTTGAGGAGGATTCCATATCTGGGTCTAATGGGAATAAAGACTCACAAATAATAAGTGTCGGAAGGAAGTGGCCAACAGGGAATTTGTGAAATTCTTCAGTGCAGTTGTAAGAGGATGCAACAAGTTTCTTCCTAAACTTCAACAGTGTGCTCTTTCTAACACTCTTTTCTGTATAAATAAGAGTTAACACAGACATTAAAATTGTAGCCAAGCCTGAGATAGTGTGGCTCAGTGGATAGAGCAGCCTGTGGACTGAAGGGTCCGGGTTCCATTCTGTTCAAGGGCACATGCCCCGGTTGCAGGCTTGATCCCCAGTAGGGGGCGTGCAGGAGGCAGCTGATCCATGATTCTCTCTCATCATTGATGTTTCTCTCTCCCTCTCCCTTCCTCTCTGAAATCAATGAATATATATATATATAGCCGAGAAGTAACTGATTTGCTATTTCCATAATCACTTCTTAATGCCAAGTAAACACAAAATACAGGAACACGCTTATGGCTGATGGTGGTTTGTTAGACAGTCCATGCCGGGATGGCTTTGCCACCATCGCAGTTACTCTCTGTGTGCACATCAACATGGGCGTTACTTCCCTCTTTCTCCCCCCTTCTTTCTCTCTTCCTTTCTGTCCATCTGCGAATCAATCTGTCCGTCCATCCATCCATCACAGAGCAACAACTCAGCTTTAGATTCGCATCAGAACTGGGTAAAAGATGGGCTCATTCTCGCCTCCAATTCCCGCCCAGGTGTCATGGTCCGGGCGGCGGTGTGGCTAGGATTCCCTGATTTTGTTCAGACCATGAATGTGGGGAACGGGACGGACATCTGGCCTGCCGCCTTCTGCGTGGGGAGTGCGGTGAGTGCGCCCCCTCTGTCCGCCCCTCCTCCCTGGCTGAGCTCCTGATGTGCCCTGGTCCTCAAAGAGCCTCTCCCCACCCCCTCAGACCCAGCTCCCTCCCCAGAACTGATGACCAGGGACCCTGGGTGCCGGCCTCTGTGATTTTAGTGTGGCTTCTCCCTCCCTCCCCCTCAGCGCATGCGTACAGTCCTGCAAGCCTTACCTTAGGCAGAGCCGCAGTCAGAACCAGCTGGCTGAAAGGGAGAGGGGGGGGGAGGGAGAGGAAGAGAGAGAGAGAGAGAGAGAGAGAAGAAAAGAAAGCTACTGACTTATTAGCGGCATTTTGCCTAATGAAATATATATTTAAATACACATGGTCCACCAAGTTAAGGTCCAGTGAGCGCTCTCGGCCCATGGAGGCTGCCTGGACCCGCCATCTGTAGAGAATTGTCAGCCCCGCCCCCTCCATGGCCACCCACTGCATCCCCGGAGCATCCGCTTCAGCTTCACACACAGGAGCCTCCCCTCCCCTCCCTTCTGCCTGTCCTGCCCACACCCCTTCGTTCTCAGCAAAAGCGCTTCTGGCCCCGAGACCCTGTGAGCCCTCCGGCGGTCTACGCCCCACAGCTGAGCCCTTGCTCTGCGCGGTACCCATGCCCGGGAGGCAGGGCTCGCGGGGCAGGAACTGAGCAGACCCGGACAGAGGCGCACAGCTGTCCCCGCCACACCGCCCTGGTTTCCAGGCCTGCCCAGTGTGTCCCAGACTGCCCTGTGCGCCTGCGGATGACAGAGGGCGTCGAGGGTCATCTCTCGCTTGGGGCAGCCTGGCGCCCTGGCCCTGGGGCCCTGATGGCCACCTGCCCGCCCACAGGTGTGGATCCAGCTGCTCTACAGCACCTGCTTCTGGTGGCTGTTCTGCTACGCGGTGGACGCCTACCTGGTGATCCGGAGGTCGTCGGGACTGAGGTAGGTGGAGGAGGGCCGCTCTGGTGCCCTGTCCCCGGGAAAGGTGTGCCGCCATTTAGACAGGTCTCATCGCCTGGCAGACACCTGCAGCCTCACCGAGGACAGCCCTTCCCCTTTGAGCCTGACACCCACCTCGGTTGCAGGCCGATCCCTGGTCCAGTGCAGGAGGAGTGGTGCGTGCAGGAGGCAACCCGTGGATGTGTCTCTCTCATATCAGTGTTTCTCTCTCTGTGTGTCTCCTCCTCCCTTCCACTCTCTCTGAAAATCAGTGGGAAAATATCCTCGGGTGAGGATTAACGACAAAGATCCATTGTCTTGTAGTGAATTCCCGGAATTGTGCCGCCATCACCATCATCTAGTTTATGACGCTTTAACCCCCCCCCCCCCCCCAAGTCTGTGCTGGTTAGTAGTTACTGTCCGTCCATTCTCCCCTCTCCTCAGCCCCCCACAGCTGCTAATCTACTCTCTGTGCCTAGATCTGCCTGTTCTGGACGTTGCTCATAAATGGAATCATACGCTATACAACCTTTTGTGTCAGCTTCTTAAACTTCGCATAACATTTCCAAGGTGTGTCCACGCTGTAGCATCTATCAGCGCTTCATTCCTGTTCGTTGCCGAGTAATATTCCACTGCAGGGCCGTGGGCACTTTATCCATTTATCACTGAGGGGCATGGAGGGGGTGCCATTGCGGGGCGATTAGGAATAGAGCTGCAGTGACATGTGGACGCAAGTGCTTGTGAGGACGCGCGTTTTGCGCACATCCTAGGGCGGAAGCCCCGGGCCATCGCGTCCCTGAGTGTAACGGGTAAGTAGCTGCGGAGCTGCTTTCCGCGAGGTGCGCCCTGTGCTTTCTCAGCAGCTGGGAGCGCTGGCTCTGCGATCCCGCGCCTGTGCTAATGACACGTGTTACTTTCTGTGCGTGTGTGTGGCTTTGGGAGTGTCAGCCCTCCTGGTACACGCAGTGCTGTCTCACTGTGGCGTCAGTTGGTTTGTTTTGTTTTGTGTTGGAATCCTCACCCTGGCTCAGACAACTGGATATCAACATAAAAAAGAATAAAGGTGGGCCTTTTCCTCACCTACACAAAGCATCTCTTCCACTCTCTCTAAAACGTGGAAGAGGGAAAGACAGAGAGAAACATCGATGTGAGAGAAACACACCGATGGGATGGGTTGCCTTCTGCAGGCACCCTGACCAGGGCCCGGGCCGGGGAGGAGCCTGCAACCGAGGTACGTGCCCTTGACCGGAATCGAACTCGGGACCCTTCGGTCCGCGGGCCGACGCTCCAACCACTGAGCACCCGGCCAGGGTAAAATGGTTCTGTTTTATGAACTCCACCCCAGGAAAAAGAACAGCCGAGAGGCCAACTAAGGCCACTCCTTGCCTGAGTGGGGAGCGCAGGCGCGGCCAGCGCCGCTGGGCCTCCCTGGCTGCGCAGCTGAGGCGGCTCTCTCCTCTCCTAGCATCATCCTGCTTTACCACCTCATGGCCTGGGGCCTGGCAGTGCTGCTCGGCGCCGAGGGGCTGCTCATGCTCTACCACCCGTCCCTGTCCAGGTAAGGCGGCCGCGGAGAGAGGGCGCCACTTCCCCTTCCCGGTGCTCTGCGACCCGCTCTGGCTCCAACACAAGAGCCTTTGCCTTCCTGTCACTCCTCCTTCCCAGCCACCAGCTCTTCCCCTCTCACCTTCCCACTTGCTCCTCCCCCTCCCACCTGCCCTTCGCCCTCCTCCTTGGGCCTGAGCCGTCCTCTCCCCGCCTCTGCCATTTCCCTTTGCGCTATGCATCTCTCACCTGGTGAGCTCCTCCCGGGGAGCACACCTGTGCGGCACCCAGCACGCCACAGGGTCCCCGAGCCAACGGGAACCCCGTCCCTCTCCCTGGAAAGAGCCATAGAATGACGGTTCCCATTAACCGTGAGAACCGGCGTCCACTGGCCAGCTCCCTGAGCGGCCTTGTCCCCGTGGACTGTGCGATTTC